ATATGGGATACAGGCAATGGCTCAACTATGTACCACAACATCTGACAAGATTTTGTACATAGAAAATCCTAACATTTACAAAACTACTACTGGAATGAAAAAGTGAAGTCAAGGGGCCAGTGCTGTGGCACAGCAACCTAAGCTTTAGCCTGTGGCGCCTACATTCCATTTGGGTACTGGTTCTAGTCCTGGCTGGAAGTCTCTACTTCCACTCCAGTTCTCTGCTTATGATCTGGGAGTGCAGCAGAGGCGGCCCAAGTCCCTAGCATCCTGCACCCACGTGGGAGATGCAGAAGAAACTCCTGGTTCTTTACTTCAGATCAGACCAGCTCTAACTGATGGCAGCCATTTGGGGAGTGGACCAGCAGATGGAAGACCTCAGTCTCCTTGACTCTGCTCTTTAAATAAATCTTCTTAAAAATGTAAAGTTACAGAACCAGTTGTATTTTCTAATAAATAATTAAGAAATGACAATCCTTGAAAAACAATAACCCTGCTTGTAATAGTATGGGAAAACATGCTCCAGAATAAGCTTTTAAAGATGCCTGCAAAATACACTAAAAGCCTCAAAACTGTGTAGGAAGAGATTTAAGAAGACCTGAAGAAATAGAGGGATACATATGCTATGTTCATGGACTAGAAGTCTCAACATTATTAACCTTTCAGTTCTACTTATTTATGTGCAGATGTGATACAAACAGCCATCAGAATGCCTGATAACTCAATTTTTAAAGCAGGTAAACTTATGTAGACATTTTTCCAAAGACAACTTACCAATGGCCAGTAGTTTTTATAAAAAAATATTCATCATTATTCATTAGGGAAATGCGAATCAAACCCACGATAGTTACCACTCACACTTACCAGTATGTTTGTAATAAAACTTGATTTTAGCTGGAGAACTCAGAAACCTCACACACTGCTGATGGGATGTAAAGTGGTACAGCTGCCAACAGTTTGGCAGCTCCTCAAAAAAAGCTTCACATAGCATCACCGAATTATCCAACAGTTCCACTCCTAGGTAGATACTGGGACTGAAGGCAGGAATTCAGACTGAAATTGGACACCTCTGTACACAGCAGCATTATTCACAATTACTCAAAGGTGACAGCAGCCCAAATGTTCATTCAGCAAGTGGATGAGTAATCCACTCTCTACAGATAAACTGTGTACCATCTACCCACAAAAGAGCAGTGACATCCTAATACTTGCTACAACATACATGAACCTTGGGAACATGTTAAGTGAAATAAACAGACACAAAACACCATAGATTTATAAGAAATTTATAAGAAATCTCCAGAATAGACAAATCCATGGAGACAGAATAGAGACTGGGAGAATGGCATGTTACTGTTTAAACTATGTAGGATTTCTGCTTGGGAAGGTGAAGTTCTGGAACTTTATCATGATGATGGTTACGCAACACTGAATGTAACTTCATGGCACTGAATTACATATTTAAATTGGCAAATTTTAGGTTCTAGTTTATTAAAATTCCTAAAAATCTAACTCCTAGGTTTTTACAAAGAAAACTGGAAACTAATTCTATATAGAGAAAATCCAAGCCATTATAATACCCAGAGCAATCCTGAGGTAGATAAACCAAATTGGAGGACTTACATTACTTTCTTTCCAGATGAGGATGACCTTAATCCAGGCAGGATGTCACTGGCAACAGGGATTGACACATCCCAGAGAGCTCAGGAGACTGTCACATTTAAACAGGGATGATGCCCTCAACAAAAACCCCCGTACAAAACAGAGAAAGGAAAAAAAATGGTGCTGGAGTGACCAGACAGTAATGCAGAAAAACAATCAGAAACTTGACCACAACCACACACCGAACAACAAATAACTGCTTATGGATCTAACCTAAGTGTGAGTGCAAACACCATAAAGCTTTTAGCAGAAAACATCATCCAGGCTTGTGCAGCACAGGTCTCTTGGATCAGAGAACAAGGACAAAGTTACACATCACCACAAAATTACACACCGCTCATCAAAAAGTACCACAAAGAAAACTGATGAGCCAGACACAAACTGAACATATTTTGAACTGAAATGGACTGCTAGTATCCAGGGTAAAGAAGCTGATGTAGCACAACGATTTAAAAAATAATAGTAACATTCATACAAATGGAATATTACGCAGCACTACACAGAAATGCATTATGAAGACAAAGAGGGAACTTAAAAGCCCATTGTTAAATATGAGGGAACAACTTGAAAAGGTTCCACCATGTGCAATTCCAGCTACGGGACTCTTTAGGGAGGCCAAAGGTACAGAGAACAGTGCAGTGGGCTACTGGTGGCTAGTGGGTAGGGGCTGGCTCAGTAAGGGAAGTGCAGGGAGGTTTTAGGGCAGTGAAAATGCTGTGCTACGTCCAACATAGGTGCATGTCGCTGCACGCCCAGAAGAGAGAACCCCAGTCACCTCGATACAGACAAGCATCATCAGCACTGGCCCGCCAGCTGTCACAAACAATTCACATGCCTGTAAGACATTCACAGGGAAACGAAGGAGAGGGCAACTGTGCTTGCTGCCCTTTTGTTGTTGTTGTTGTTGTTCTTTTGGCGGGGGCAGAGGGGACAGGAGAAAGGCAAGAAGGTAGAACACCTAGAGCTGGCTAAACACACACACTGAAATTGTAAAACTAGGGGCGGGCACAGCAGCTCAACAGGCTAATCTTCCCCTGTCAGTACCAGCATCTCAAAATGTGGATGTTGGTTTGTGCCCCAGGTGCCCCACTTCCCATCCAGCTCCCTGCTTGTGGCCTGGAAAAGCAGTGGAGGATGGCCCAAAGCATTGGGACCCTGCACCCATGTGAGGGAACATGGACGAGACTCCTGGCTCCTGATCAACTCTGGCTGTTGCAGCCATTTGAGGAGTGAACCAATGGATGGAGGAGAAAATCTTAAAAACCAAAACTGAAAGGTCCAAAAACCACCACCCCTGACCAGGCCTTCAGCAAAACCTCTGTAATGTCTGCATTCTGGGACAGGAGCCAAAGGCCGCGCACATGGGCATATGGGAGGGGCTTTACTGGGGGAACTGGCTCCCTGGGCTATGGCAGCTGAGTAACAGGACAGCCAGCAGGCTGGGGTGGGGCTCTGGAGTGCCAGCAGCCATCTGTAGAAGTCTGCAGGAGAGCAGATGCTGTGACTTTCAGTCTGAGGCCAAATCCCTGGGATGGGGGGATGGAAGGGGAGCTTGGCCCTGCTGGAGGTCCGGAAGCCCAAAGGTTGGGGAGCCTGGAGCTGTGACACCCGCTGGAGACACTGGACCAATTCCCCTTAGGACCTGCTCTCTGCATGTGCACAGCGACCAAGGTGGCACCTGCCCAGCTGAGCGCAGCCTGCTTCCCCCTCAAGCCCATGCAGATTTGCATGCTGATCCAGGGATCGCCCCCACCCTGCATCATACTTCAGTGTGTTGCTGGGGGTTCCTTCTGCCATACATAAGTCCCCATCACAACTTGCCAACCTGTTTTGGCAAGCTCTTTTAGAATGATTCCTGTGTCTAATTCTGGGCACACGAGCTTCTCACCTGCCAGGTCAGATTTAGGTTAAGAGCAGAGAGGAGGCTTCACAGCTGTTGGGCAAGACCTCTTCTCACACCTACTGGGGCCATCTGAGCTGCACATGGATGCTCTGCTCCATGACCAGCCCCACCTGCCACAGGGCCCCCTTCAGCTCATCAGAGCACTCATTCACCAGAGCCCAGCTCAGCACCAAACCCCAGCTGGTGTGGGCAGGATGGGGACAGACCAGGGCCGGCTACCTAAGCAGGAGACAGCAGGCGGGGAAGGGTGGGTGCAGCCTGTGAGGAAGGAGGATGCCTGCAAGCAAGGCTGCAGCACAGTCCTAACCAGGAGCAGGCCGGGAAGTGGATGACTGTAGGAAGCCACATGTGACAGCCTTTTGCCTGGGAGAGATCTCCATCAGGTGTTTCACAGCGGACTCTTGCCCTTGGGCATGCTGGGTCACATGTAACAGGTATCTCAGAGATGGGCACAACTTCTGCCATTCTATAGAGATTAAAGCTGAAAACACTCAGGACCCACCACAGGGTAACAGGCTCTGCAGCATCTGAACATGCACCATGCTATCTGCAGCCTTACCCCCTCCATGCAGCCCTGTAACTGTAACCATTTTTATCAACACTTCTGAGCATTCAACCTGAATGTAGGCCCATCAAAGACCAATGACCAGCGGTGGCCACATCTGAGCCAAAACTCAACAGGAATAGGCTGGGAGCAGACATGTTCTCCCCACACTGCAGCCTTGCGCCACCTCCTCCCATCTCTGCTCCCAGGGCAAATCGTAACAAGGAGCCTGCAGTTGGAGGAACCGGAGTTTGGCAGCCCAGACCCTAGGGAGAATTCCTGTCCTACCTTACCCCACCTGCTGGCTGCTGGAAGCTTGCCTCACCAACTGCTCTCCCTACAAAGCCCCACCCATGTCACAAACGCCCTCCTGCAGAGGCCCAACTGAGTCCTCACTTCCGCCCTCTTCCCCCTCCTGCCATGGGGTCTGAAACTCTCCAGGTTCAGGGGCTATATTGGATCCCTTAGCCAAGTACAAGGTCTAGGTCTGTGGACACCAGAGGGGAGGAAGTGTCAGCCACAGTGGGCGCAGGCGTGATTCCTGTCTGTCAGGGACAAGCCAACTCTCCTGCACCAGGATCATGGGCACGCACACACACATGCAGGGCGCACACACGTGCAGAGGCACACACACATGCATGTGCACACACATTTCTTTAAATGCTCATGGGAGAAATCGCAGTCTGTGTTTCTGAAACGGGAGCCAACAAGGCTGTCAGCATTCTGGCATCCCAGCTCGTGGCCCCCCTGGTCTGACTCCTGGTCTGGGGCCGCACTCCTAGATTGTGGCATGCTGGTGCCAGCCACCTGCAGGGAGGCAGACAGGCACCTCCTCAGTCCCTCCTGCTGACCCTGCTGAGGAAAACCACAAAACACCTCCAAACCGCTTGGGTTAAAGTTTCCATTTATTTTTGGGTTTTTCTGTTTTAATACAAAAATCCAACATAAGACCATTGTGCTCATGATTGGACAGGGGGTTGAGGCAACTGGACATGGTACGGATATCAAAGAGCTCACCCTCAAAATCCTGCCACCTCCTCTTCCCAGCAGCCACTGAGAACACTCCCCACCTGTGGACAAGAGCCCATGGGTCAGGGTGCCCTGTGCTGGGTGCTCCAGCCCAGAGGAGCCCGCAGAACAAGCCTGTGTAGCGAATGGCGCACAGGCTGACCAGGAAGCCGGGCCTTCCTAAGCCCAAGTGCTGAGACTAGGGAACAAGAAATGACCCACAGCCAGCTAAGGAGACCCTTGGGACCTACCCAGCCACTTTCCCATATTGGGGAGTCCTGGCTGGATGGGTTCCCAGAGTGAGCAGCAGCATCGAGGCACAGCCCCGGGACTCACCCTCTCCCACCTTGCAGGTGGGCAGTTGTGCCCAGGAGCATCTAACCACACACCATGCAACAGCCAGCTCCCAGCCTCCCACCCGTGACGTGCATCCTGACAAATGGAAAGCTAGCCAACGCCTGACACTTGGAGTCCTTCAGGCTTAGAATTCTTCCAGGTCTGGCCAGTGCTGGCCTTGCTGGACATAGTGCTCTCTTTGGCGCCGCCTCTGGTCAGCCAGACCGCACACCACGCAGCTGCTCGCAGTGAGGTCAGCCACACCCAGGGACCCACGAATTGCTCCCTTCTCACCAGGTACATGCATACAGGTTCCTCACATCACAGGAAGAAATGCAGCCACATGTACACAGGTAGGCCTCTGAGAAGCACGACCCCATTTCCCAGGCAGCCGCCTCAAGGAGCGGCCCTGGGTCTGCTGGCTGGTGAACAGCATTCCCAGTGAGTCACACTTGTTCTACAGCGAGGTGGTTGCTGCACGAAAGAGCCCGTCCGCTTGCAGCAGGTCAGAGAACAGACCCAAGATAAAGCAGCACACGGTGTCAAGGTTTAGGGAAGACAAGCTGGCATAAGGCATGTGCGTGACCAGGACAGACCTGCACCTTGTTCCACTCTAGGAGACCTCCTGTCCTCAATTCAAAGGCGGGGGCTAAGGAGAACAGGAACCAAGGCTCAGTGCCTGACAGACACCACTGACTGCCTCCCTGGCTCCCCAGCGACTCCCCCCTACACACACGTACATGCACACACACACACGCACCCTCCCTGTTTCGGCTGGCACCCAGGAAATGGCAGTTTCAACAAAGCAAGCCAGCAGAAACATAGGCACAAGCCAGCGTTCCATTTCAAGACTGGATTTGCACTTCCGTAGGGACACAGCCTCTCCTCTCTCTAGCACATCCCAAAGCGAAACCTCAGGGGATCCTAAAGACAACCTGGCCCCGTGTGGAACACTGGATGGAGGTGTAGACAAAGGCGGAGGGGAAACCGAATTTTACCAGAGCATTTGCCTAGCCTACAGCACGTGCCTCATCGGAAGACCTGGGGGGGCCTAAAGCTGCGTGCTTGCTCCACAGGGAAGGGAGTGACTGGTGGGCCAGCTGCCCCCCTCACCCAAGCCTGCAAGCAAAGCCTATGAGGACCCCCATCCTCTTGCTCATTCTCTTCCTCAGAAGGAAAGCCTGGGCCGGAACCACAACATGGTAGGGCAAGACAAGAGGCCATGTGGGAGAGCTGTCTTCAGGCTTGGCTCCTCTCACACTCAAGGAGAGAATGGGAGAGCTGGGACCAGCACTAGGACAAGCTGGCCTCATGGTGAAGCCTCAAGTGTCACAGAACGCAGCCCAGAGACACACTGCTGGTCCACAGTGGCCCGCTCCTCGGGGCTGTCATGGGGCAGAGAGGTTACAACTGCCGACGGGCAAAAAGATGAAGGGACCGGCCCAAAGTCACTCCTGTCTGGGTTTTTGCACAGATTTTTCTGGTGAAAATGGCACTGACCTTTACTCACAAGCCCAATACCAGCTAGGCCAGAAGCCCTGCCCATCAGCGCATACAGCGTAAGCAGCCTGGTGAACACACAGTGAGAATGTCCAGTTCCCCCCTGGCCAAGTGTGTGTGTGTATGTATATGTGTGTGCACATAAACACACACGTCTATACATACCACACATCTCTATAAATAAGCCTTTAGTGGCAAATCTGGAACTTTAAATAATAGTTGTTACTGAACCTAAACCCACATGCCAGCTATCCCAGGTTTATGAACCACGGGAGTGACTGCAGGGTCCCCACAGTCCTCAGTGTAAGCTATCAGGCAGTGCCCTGTGTGGGACTCCAGGTCTCCTGACCAGGGTTCCAGGTCCAGTGTGGCTGACTTCGACCTAATGGAGCTTCTTCCTCTGCATTCTGCCCGCTGCCTCTCCCAGCAGACGACTGGGCCACCTGCCCGGCAGATGGAGCCGAGGTCCTTCCATACCTGGGGACCTTAGGAACCATCTCTTCACTCTGCCCACCTTCTCACCAAAATGTGGGATGGCCCTAGATGAACTTGAAGCACTTGGTCTTGTCGTGGGGCAGGCGGGTCTTGAAGAGCACAGAGTCCACCCTGAACTGGGTGTACAGGAGGGGCATGTAGCCGTACACCTTGACAAAGAAGTTGATACACTTGTGCCGCTCGTGGAAGTGGGAGTCATCATGCGACAGGGCCTGCGGGCATCCCGGGCACCGGAAAGTCCACCGTGAGGTCACCTGGGAGCAGGGAAGAAGAGGCAGGGTCAGAGTCATAGTAGGAAAGCCGAGCCACAGAAACCCTGCAGCTCAGCCCAGCCAACACTCCTGTTCCTCCTGAGCACGAAGACACTGAGCCCCCAGAGCTCCGCCCACAGACTAAGGCAAGAGCTCCTTGCATCAGGCAAGTGTCTGAGACACTGGGGCTAACATTTTATACCAAAACCCTTCATCTACCTGGTGCCTTTGTCCTAGTAACTCAACTTTTCCTATTTATGTTGGTTGTACATGATGTAGGACAAAGTTGCTCATGTCACAGAACCAAACAGAAAGTGGATTAAATTAGACTGCACACTCAGTGGCTAGGCATGAAGAAAATGTTACTGCTGAAAAAATACATTTATAGGGCCTGGCACAAGAGTGTAGCAGTTGAAGTCCTCGCCTTCAACGCACCAGGATCCCATATGGGCGCCAGTTCTAATTCCAGTGGCCCCGCTTCCCATCCAGCTCTGTGCTTGTGGCCTGGGAAAGCAATGGAGGATGACCCTGCACCCAAGTGAAAGACCTGGAAGAGGCTCCTGGCTTTTGGACTGGTTCAGCACCAGCCATTGTGGCCGTTTGGGGAGTGAACCATTGGACGGAAGATCTTCCTCTCTGTCTCTTCCTTCTCTCTGTATATCTGACTTTCCAATAAAAATAAATAAATCTTAAAAAAATACATCTATAATTATTACCCAGAAAACACTGAGAAGATGACCAAAAACCATGAAAGCAAGCCTAAGAAGCATGGAAAAGAAGTACTGTATGATGTTGCATAAAGTTTAAAACTGGCAAAACTGATCCTGGCACAGAAAAAAGATGTGGGTAGAAACAAAAGACATCTGAATAAAGGATAGGCTTTGGTGTAACAATGCATCGATGCAGGTCCACCAATCTGACAACTGCATCCTGCTAAAGATGCTGATAACGGGAGACTGGACAGAGGAATACACACTACCTTCCAACTTTTCTGTATGTTTACACCTTATGTGTATGTATGTTCATGTATCCATACACACAGAAGCAATGTGTATTTGCAACATTTGCTACCACTGGCCTAAAAATGTGAGTAAAATAGTTTTTAAAAAGGAAAGAACAAACACCCTGTCCCATGTTGGAGTGTCCTGGGTTCAGTGTCGGGCCCTGGCCCTCCTTTGCACCACGGGTCTGCCCAAGCCCAATGCCAATATCAGACTGTTTTCACTATGTAATGTCATTACCACTTCCAGCTTTTGATAGGGCAAATCTACATCCTCTTGTTCACTGGTGTCTAGGCTATTCTGGTTCTCTGCACTTCAATACAAACTTGAGGATCTAATTTTCAATTTCTGTATCAGACCTAATTAAATCAAACACATATCCAGTGAATCCATAGATGGAAGATTTCTATTTCCCTTCCATCCCCTGCCTCTGTCATTTTGCTTTTCAAATAAAAAAATACATCCTTAAAAACATATTAAAAAACAATAATAATAACAAAAAACCTTTCCAATTATCCCAGAATCCAATTTCAGGAGAAAAGCCCACTAATGGGATATTATTCTACTTGACAAAGAAATTATTTCATAATTGTTTTCACAGAAGCTAGGCTTTTAACTGGTTTTCATCATGTAAACCACCAGTTAAAGCTCTGAGTCTTCTCCCCTTTGAATCTATGCATACACATAAATACATTGCACAATAAAGCATACAAGGAAGGAAATGAAAAAGGAAGCAATAACTAATATGAAATGAAGTGTGGACACATATGTGACCAAAACTAGACTGTATTTGACCTGGAACATTCCAGGTAACGGAGCCCCAGTGAAGCACTCATGCTCTACTTTAGTACCACAAAGGACAATTCCTACTGGAGCTGAGGCCTCGCATCATCAGACTAAGATGCTCGGTTGCTCTCTCCACAACTCAACACCTGAGCCAGCCACTGGCTCTCTGCTTTCTACAGGAGCTCTTACTAATTCATTCCAAATAAAGCCTACTTATATTTCTGGATTTTTCAAAAACAGTATACTATTCAAAGCAATACGGCATTAACTATTCTTTAGTCAGAATTATTAAAGCAGTAACACTGTCAAAAGATTAGTGATAAAATAGCCAAACCTTTCTAATTCAAATGAAACAGTTTAACGGTGAAAATCAGAGGTATTTAACGCAAAAATCACTATTTCTCTAAGTAAGATAATACAAATATTCAGTACCACTATTATTAGATGCATATTTCGTTCAAACTGCTTTTAAACATAGATAACTAAGCTTGGAACTTGAAGCAATTATTTCAGAATTTGGAAATTTTCTTAATTTATTCAGTCTTTGATTTTAAAGTCATCTGCAAGTTGAACGGATCTCTTGTATTTAGTAAGATTGAACAAATTCACATGGAATATTCAAAACACGTATACCATGTCTATTCCCATCATTTCCAACATACTATCTACACTGAACAATTCTGCTTAACACAGACCTAATAATGTCTCAGACAAGCATGTTTTAATGAAGATGTTATTATTGGGTATCTAATCGAATACTTTCAATTTCCATTGATGTCATCATGAGACCCATTAATCAAATACACATCTTCACTAAAGTCTGGTCTCTGGCCACAAACAAAAAATGGATTAAGTAGAAAATTGTGCCAATCAGGCCCGGCGTGGTAGCTTAGTCTCTAAAGCCCTTGCCTTGCACGTGCCAGGATCCCATATAGGTGCTGATTCTCGTCCCAGAGGCCCCACTTCCCATACAGCTCTCTGCTTGTGGCCTTGGGACCTTGCACTTCGTATCAGAGATACCTGCACTTGGGATCCTGGCTTCGTATCAGAGCTCGGCTCCGGCTGTTGTGGCCACTTGGAGAGTGAATTATGGGACAGAAGATCTTCCTCTCTGTCTCTCCTCCTCTCTGTATATCTGACTTTCCAATAAAAATAAACCTTTAAAAAAAATCGTGCCAATCACCAATTTCTTTCATTGATCTGAAAGCCAGAGCTACAGAAACAGGGACAAACACAGAGAGAGATCTTCCACTCTTTGGTTCTCTCCCCAATTGGCCTCAAAACCTGGAAACGGACCAGACTGAAGCCTAAAGCCCAGAACTCCAGCTGGGGCTGCATGTGGGATGGCAGGAGCCCAAGGACTTGGGTCATTCTCTACTGCCTTCTCACCAGCAAGGAGACAGATTAGAAATGGAACAGTTGGGACTCCAATTAGCACTCACATGGGGTACCAGCCTTACACACAGTGGCCTAACTCACTATACCACAACACCAGACCTGATCATTAATTTCTTCCTAAGATTTTGCCACAGTGTATCTGCCACTATAGATAAAAATAAACTTTTTGTATAAAAGTTGTGACTGTTATCATTCATGCTTTAAAAAATAAAGTTAATATCACTTTGCTGACGGTTGCTCTTTTTAGATGCTTTGGCAAAAGTCTCATCAACAGAATATTCCCTGGGGGATCAGGAGGTAAGCTGTGGCTCTAGGAACTTTGACAGATGTAGGCAGGTTCATGAGGCCCCCAAAACTCGCTCTCCTTTCCAGCTTAGAACTAGCATCCACTGGTTATTGCCATGCTTACCATTGAAGTTATTATCTTTAAGAATTATTTTAGAGAGAGAGAATATGAGAACAAACCCCTAGTAGGTAGTTTACCCACCATGGCCCCGGCTGGGTCAAAGCCAGAAACATGATCATCTACCCTGTGGGAGAGGCAGAACCCAGTCACCTGAGCCACCGTGGCTGCCTCCCAGGGTGCGTGCCAGCAGGAAGCTGCAGCCAGGAGCTCCAGGGGAATTCTGAGCCCGGCACTCAAAAATGGAAAGCTACATACCAGTTCCCAGAAGCTATGATTTGAGTATTGCCACTATAGATAAAAATACCTGATGGATACTCAGTGGTAGATACCGTAGAATTTGCCTTCAAAATGTAAGAATAATGAAATATGTACACAAATTTCTATTTACGCATGGCAATAGAAACACCTAAAAGAAAACTTAAGATGTTATCAAATTAAGTAACATGCCCCTTTTATGACAATAATGAAAGTAGACCTCAGGAAGTTTGTTGACCGTAATAATTTTCATGGATGATTTCTCATGACCTACTAGCCAAACGTACATCTTGACCAAAATCTGATCACTGGTCACATGAAAAAGAAAAAGCTAGAAAGTTTCTAAGAGCATCAGATGGAAATCTGTAACATAAATAGTATTCACTTGAATTGGCAGACTCTACAGCAGTGGCTGCGAGGCCCTCCCCAGGCTTGACTGTGCCTGCTTCTAGAAGGCTCAACAGGAGCCTGCGAGCGGGCGCTCTCAACCACTGCCTGAGACTACGAGAAGGCAGAATGTGGAACGAAACTGAGTTCTCTGTATGTGACCAATCTGAAACTGCTTTATTCTGACTCAAATGTATTCAGCAACATAGGCAAAACAAAAAGAAAATCTCCATAATTCTGAGAGTACATTCATTTTTGAGTAAATTAACCTCTTTACATAAAAGCTAGGCTCTGGCACTTCTCGTAGAACTTTACCCACATGTTAAATATAGAACAATTCTTCAGGTACTTGGCTGGCAGAAATCCCCTTCCAACCTCAAGTTAGCAATCTGAGGACTGCTACGGATTACTTCCCAGAGCAATGTTGTTAAGTAAATAAAACAGAATAGCTGGTAACACACAGGAAACAAGTTATACAGTGATGCATGTGCCCTCTTAATACTTTCTGGGGAAAAGATGGTAACTGCAATAATTTCAAAGCAGTGATGAACAGAAGCTATTCTGATAGATTACAACCAGATGCAGTAGGATATGAAAAAAATCTGTGACTTCTGACAAGACACAGTTACTACAAATATTCTTACAAATTATAGGCCGCTTTGTAATGGAAGACAATGCTAAATTCCAGACAGTGATGAAGGAAGATGTCACTCAAGTTCTCAACCATCTGCACTGGCCTTCGGACAGCAGAGCCCCTGCATTAGCAACCCATTAACCCCACGCTCAGGCCTCCCAGCTGTTGAGCACCATTATTCCTCCTGTACTGATGAAGCAGTGTGTCAGTTACATACTGTGTAATTAAGTGCTTTACTCAGGCAGGCATCCTCAGGCCCACCATAGTGCACCCTCACCTTGATTGGGGGCTTCCGAGTGATGTGGGAGACCAGGAAGTTCATGGCAATGTCCTCACAGTTGATGTATTCATCCACCATATCTCGGATGGCCTGGGGCATCACATATGAATACAAGTAGGCATAATACTGTTGGGAGAAGAAAAAGAACCCATTTATTGTTAGACGCCACAATTCCTCAGCTTTTAGGAAAAAAAAATAATAAAAAGATGGCTCTGTGGGGCTTCTAGGAAGCTGGGAATGGGAGTGAAAACAGGATAACAGGGAAGCACGACCAGGATTCAAGCAGTCTGAACCAGATCCAGGAACATCCTGCTACTCAGCTCTCCTAGGATAAAGAGCTCTCCCACTTGAATTACCTTTACCAGCCTCCTGAAGAAACACAATTTCACACAACAGCAATGGGCAACCAACACAAATCTCTGCTAAACTAGGTCAGACGATATAGTTCTGTTGACCATCATTCCATCATACCTTCCCTGACAGCAGCAACGAGGGGTTCTATGAGGAAAAGGCCTGGGTTCCTTCTCGGGTCCCAGTCCATCACAGAGCCAGCACACGCTGCCTGCCTCACGCAGGAAGTCTTCAGTCTCATCAGTTCTTCACTTCCACTGGCTACTCTCTCTCCAGACTTACCAGCTCTTGCCTGGATTATCCCCACCGTGTTCCCCATAGTCTGCCAGCTGCAGCATGTGCTTTCCAGCATTCTATTCTCAGCTATTCAAATGTCAACCCCCAACTCCAAACCCGCCAACAGCTTTCTCTGTCACAACATTAGCCCAGGTCCTGAAAATGCCACTCAAGATCCACAAGGTGGTGTGCTAACGCCACTCAGGCCTGCTATCAAATTGGTGAAAATTTCAGAAATTTTGTGAACTTGTTAAAAATGGATAAATTTGAAATTAAATGTTACATTAAGAAGTGATGCAATCAATACCTAAGATTCATCACTTATCAGATTTGTTTCCGTTTCCTGTATCCTGAGGTTATCTGCCTCACTGTATTGACGGTGGAAATGTTGCATAACAGCACATAGCTATGTATCACTCCCTAACTCCATGTTCAGAAACTCAAGGTCAGAATATTTCTATCACAGAAACCAGTTGTAATATATTACAATAACCTAGTGAGGAATATGAGGGAACTAGTTAATAATCTGATTTATGTATTCTATTAGCTTAAATAACAACATACAGTAAAATGTTGAGTTTTCATAGATATTTTATAGCAGTTTTCACTAACTATCTTGTAGCAAGTCCTCAAAAGCTGGGGTACCTGGGCCCGGCGCAGTAACCTAGTGCCTAAAGTCCTTGTCTTGCACACCCAGGATCCCATATGGGAGCAAATTCTAATCCCAGCGGCCCCACTTCCCATTCAGCTCCCTGTTTGTGGCCTGGGAAAGCAGTCAAGGACGGCCCAAAGCCTTGGGACCCTGCACTGGCATGGAAACCCAGAGAAAGCTCCTAGCTTCAGATCAGCTCAGCTCCGGCCGTTGCGGCCACTTGGGGAGTGAATCAACGGACAGAGGATCTTCTCTGTCTCTCCTTCTCTCTGTATGTCTGACTTCCCAATAAAAATAAAGTAAATCTAAAAAAAAAAAAAAAGCAAAAAAACCCCAACTAAAAAGCTGGTGAACCTAAAAGATGAATTACACAGAGTAGGCATTTGGTCTAGCCATAGAGACCATGTTAGAGATGCCCACACTCTATATGAGCATGCCTCAGTTCCGGCTCTGCAGTTCCAGCTTCCTGCTGATGCAACCCTTGGGAGGCAGCAGGGGAGGGCTCAAATCATCCCGTCCCCATCACCCATCCTGGGGGCCTGGAGTGAGTCCCTCGCTTCTGCCTCTCCCCAGCCCAGATCTGCTGTGACAGGCATTGAAGCAATCAGCCACCAATGAGAGAGCTCTGTCTCTGCCAGCCTCTCATATCAAACTAGATTTTAAAAATTTAAAGATGAGTTACATATCTTTGACATTTAGATAGCTGTTATTAGTATCCTAAAGAACATGTTTAAAAATACAATCTATGCCTTCAGAGTAAGGTGATATTTTTTTTTAAGATTTATTTTTATTTTTGTTTATTGGAAAGGCGGATGTACAGAGAGGAGAGACAGAGAGGAAGATCTTCCGTCCGATGATTCACTCCCCAAGTGAGCGCAATGGGTCGATACTATGCCGATCCGAAGCCAGGAGCCTCTTCCGGGTCTCCCACGCGGGTGCAGGTTCCCAAAGCTTTGGGCTGTCCTCGACTGCTTTCCCAGGCCACAGGCAGGGAGCTGGAAGGGAAGCGGGGCTGCCAGGATTAGAACCAGCGCCCATATGGGATCCCGGGCGTGCAAGGCGAGGACCTTTAACCACTTGCGCCACCGTGCCGGGCCCGTAAGGTGATATTTTAACAAGGCTGCCTTTTAAATAGAAAACTATGAGCAAAGTATTAGAAAAATAATTGTTTATAATTCTAAAATTGACTAGTTTCACTACCAAAATGACAATGTTAATTTAAAAATTTGCTCCGCCATACATTTTAAAAACCCCAAGAAACCTGGCTAACTTGTGAAAATCTTCCAACTTTTTTGCAAGAGAGCAAAGCCATAAGCCAGGAACTCCATCCTGGTCTCTCAAATGTGTTGCCAGGGTCCACAGAGTTGGGCCAAATTCTGCGGTCTTCCCAGGCACATTAGCAGGAAGCTAGATGGGAAGCAGAGGTGTTGAATCTAAATTGGAATTCGAAAATAAAGATGCCGGCATCACAAGCTGCAGCTTAACCCACTGAGCCACAATACCAGCTCCATCTTTTAAAAACAAAATCTGTTAAATGAACAATCTCAATGCATTAAAAAGGCAACAGCTTCCCATCAGTTTGCTTACAATAAAACAAAATGAATGAATGGCATCATAGAAGATGGGAATAACTAAGCTCACCTTCCAAAAAGGCGGCCAAACCAGCGGATGAGACTAAAAAACTCAAGGAATATGACTTAGGCATAATGAAACACAAGAATTCCCTTCAAAGACAGTGAATACTACAAGCATAAAGAAAAAGTGCTCAATTTCAAAGCACCTTTTACTTGCCATAATGCATAATATCCAAAGATTTAAAAATACAACAGATTTAATCATATTTCTCACTAAAATGTAAGAATTTTCTGAGCAAATTATTTTGAAACCTTATATCTTCATCTCAAACCCTAAAATTTTTTTAACTACAATAGTTCACACAAACATACACAGGGAGAATTTCTAAATAAATTGCCATACCTCTTAGTGTATGTTCAAAAGTTTTATGGAAAAGCACTTATGTCTAGGCCTAGTGTTGTTGTCTAGTGGGCAAAGATGCCATCTGTCACGCCAGTATTCCACACATGCGCCAGTTCAAGACTTGCTGCTCTGCTTCAGATCACTCCCTACTACTGCACTGGGAAAGCAGCAAAAGATGGTTCAAGTGTTTGGGTCCCTCCACCCATGTGGGAGAACTGGAAGAAGCTACAGGCTCCAGGTTTTGCCCTGGGAAAGCCCCTGTTGCTACTGCCATAGATGGGGTATGAGAGGTGTGCCTAGGAAGACACAAAGAGGATCAGCAGGTAAAGCTTACCAAGTGTCCCCTGTGGACAGCCCCCCACGAAAACCACCAGGTGCTGAGACACACAGGGAGAGTGGAGCAAAGCACAGCCAGGGGCCAGTGTCTTTGATGTGAGGCTAGTGGATGGCAGCAACAAGGAAAATGGCATGAGCCTCAAGCGAGATCACACAGGACAATTCAGAATAGCTTGCAAATGATGAAAATGTTCCCCACTGCCTTCCCCTCTACAGAACAAGCCTGGGGAAATGAGTAGCATCAGAGCGCACCAGTAAGGGTTCAAGGGGAAACGCGGTCCCAGAAAGGTCAGGCTCCAATCCTACGGCGGAGCTGGAAGAGGTATCCTGTGGAGTGCACAGGCCTAACTCAGCACCAGACATTCTTCACCGGCCAGGGAAGAGCATGGGAGGGAAGGCACAGAGCAGTGCCACCCAACAGAATTGTAATACAAGCCACAACTGTCATTTTAGGTTTTCTATAGCCACAAGATTCACTAGAAAAAAGAAAACTGTATTTACTGACACTGTGGAACAGTGCAAAAAGCCACCACCTATGGTGCTGGCATCCCACATGGGTGTTCATGTCCCAGCTGATCTACTTCTCATCCAGCTCCCCACTACTACACCTGAGAAAGCAGAAAAAGATGGCCCAAGTAGCAACTCAGGGTTCCTGGCTTCAGATCAGCCCACCTCCAGCCACTGCAGCCATCTGGGGAGTGAAGAAGACTAATGGAAGATGCCTCTGTCCCCAACTCTGCCTTTTGAATAAGCAAGTGAATCTTTAAGTAAAACACTTAAGTTAACATTATTTTACCAAGTGTGTATCCAAAAAAAAAAAAAAATGCTTGCATTTCAATGTACAATCGGTGTACAAAATTCATTCGTGCTATTTTCAAAAGCTGGTATACACTTTACACTGACAGCACATCTCAACTCTGACCAGTCACACTTCAGGCTCAAAGGAACAGAGGGCCAGTGGTTACTTTACTGACAGAAAAGGTACCGAAGAAGCTGAGTCAGAAACAAAACCAAACAACCATGCAAAGCAGAAGGAGAGGGGCGCCGCCTGGAGCGGCCTGCCCTGCGGATCAGGACGTGAGGCATGACGGGAGCAATGAGCTCTGAGGAATCAGGCTGAACCGGCACATCAACACCAAGCTCTGCAGGTGGGTCCAGCACAACAGGGGTCCAGCAAGTCAGAAAACGCATCAGACTAAGTCTTCTGTTGGCTGTGCCATCACTGGGATGGCAGTGTTGACACTGGAAGGTATCTGAGGGTCTTAGCTCAACACCCTTTATTTTGCAGAAGGCCAATACTCAAAGATAAACTGATTTTCCTAATGGCCTCTATGCTATTTCAAGAGCAGTTCTCTTATCCAGACATTCTGTTCCAGAGTTGTTCTAAGTATCTTGGTCATTCTCCTTTTTCAAAAGTTTATTTATTTGAAAGGCAAAGCAACAGAAAGAGAGAAGGTGACAAAGAAACATCTTCTATTTGCTAGTTTGTTCCCCAAATGGCTGCAATAGTCCTCAGAGCTCAGCCAGGCTAATGCCAGAAATTGCAATAAGGGTCTCCCACATGGGTATCAGGGGGCCAAGCACTTGAGTCATTTTAATAAGGAGCTGGTTCAGAAGCAGGGCAGCAAGGATGTGTACCAAAACTCCAAAATATGGAATACTGGAGTAGTAAGTGGTGGCTTAACCAGCTGTACTGCACCACCAATTCCTGCTTATTGCTTATAAAATTTTCTAGCATAGAAGGGACGACAAAAAAGCCAGAGAATTCTACCTCAGGGTAGTATTTCACTACTACACACAGATACAGCTCTTAGTACATTGAGGCCATTCTGGAGCGTTTTCTTACCTTGTGAAAGAAGGCAGCACCTGTCAGCACCATGGACAGCTCACAGGAGTAGTTGGAGTTGTACAGCCAGGACTGGTGAGGGATGTCCCAAGCGTGGTATCGGCCGGGAAAGCCCACAATGCGGTCCCGAGCTTCCCTCCAAACCCTAAGAAATACAAAACACATACACACATTTGATAACCAAGTACCAAGATTATCAAAATGTTTTAAAGTACTGTCTATTTCTCATTTTTAAATAACAAAAAAACTACCCCAAATTAAATGAACTGTGTCAAATGCAGCTTTCTTAACACCTGCCCATTTCATAATCTGATAGCCAGCATCTCTCCAGCCCCAAAGAGTAAAATAGAAAAATGGATTTTCTACAACAATCACCTAGAAAGTAAGAAGACATCAGTTTTACTTATCTTAACTCATAAATGTTTTAATGAGCACCTTAGTTCAGCTGGACACATATGTAATTTGTGCTAATACAACACTGAGAAGGTATATAATGAAAAACATTTTAAGACACCATTGGGGTTGTTTGTTATTGATTTGAAAGACAGGAGACAGAGTGCTCCCATCCACTGTTCACTCCTGTAACACCTACAATCACTGGGGCCCAACCAGAAGGCAGAAACTGAACCTGATTTGTGTGTCTGCCCTCTGGATGACAGGGATCTGAGTACTTGAGCCATAAGGCACTGCCTCCCAGCATGTGTATCAGCAGGAAGCTGGAATAAGGAGGGGCACACGGAGCCTAGGAACACTGATGACGGAGTGTGGGCATCCCAAGCAGTGTCCGAAGCTATGCCAAGCACCTACCCCAAGACCACGTATTTAACCACAGCAAACTACTGCTTGAAATAAAATGTACCAAACCTAATATCTAGTTCGAACAGAGCTGAGGCAGAAAGTTGTATCATGAGAAAGTCTTAAAATGTTTTTCATTATATACCTTCTCAGTGTTGTTTCTCAGGCAGTTTAAATCTATAAAAGTTTATCGTGAAACATTGAATTCTCAATTTCTTAAACCCAAGACTTTTATATCATCTCCAACTTTATAGGCAAGGAAATTGGAGAGCTGAAATTGGAGAGCTGAAATCACTTAAGAGTTCCACAGGCCCCGGCAGGCCTGCAGAAAGACTAGATTTAAACTGCCTGAGAAACTTCTCTGCTATCCACAGGGAGCTTCAATTCCCAAAACACAGATTTCATTCCAAAAGCATTCTTCTCCCAATAAATGACAAAGTAGCTCATTTAGTTCAATCACAACTTCTATCACAGTACAATATCCTTGCAGGGTGGACATTTTCAGACAACTGACAGTTTTTTTTTTTAACCATGGCAAGGTATATATACATACATAAAACTTCCTAGTTCAACTATTTTTTGCTGTTAACCATTTAAAGTACACTGGAATTAGGCACATTTGCATGACTGTGCAACAATCACCACCATCCATCTCCAGAGCTTTCTAATCTTCCCTGACTCTCTGTGCCCAAAAGACACGGACTTCCTACTCCCACCTCCCCCAGCTCATAAACCACCATTCCCCTTGCTCTAACCACTCTATACCTCATCAAGCAGAATGATACAAAGTATAAAGGTCTAAAAAAAAAAAGCATTTAAAATGCATGAAAAAAACTTAAACATCCTTTAACTCCATTTTTCATGAACTTTTCAGATCCTCCTCTTCTTTATCCTTTGTGGTGCGTATTACAAATGATGTCATGACTATCCATTTATTCTCTGTGGACATCTGACATCCAATTTTCTTCGGTGCCTCCTTTCTTTTGCCATTAGAGATTGCTTGCCTTTTTCTTAGCTAGCTAAGTAGAAGATAATCAAACTTAACTTTTCATCAGAGGGAGGAATTTTTATATTTACCCTTTCCTTTTGAACCTAGATCTAGATCTGTTTTACTCCCAGTTAGGTGAAGTAAGTAAAGCACAGATATTAGTAGGAGAAAGATTTTAATTTAAAGGATACCCAAACAAATGTGGAAAACATTAGGATGTACAGGTAGGATTCTTCGCCAAACCTCAAACTTTGCATAACTGCTAAGAAACACTTTGCAAGGCTTTCCAAGTCTGCCACTACCAGGAAATCCGTTGAGAAATGGCATGGAGCGGGTGTTCAACCCTGAGTCACTGAAGATCAACCCTGAGTCACTGAAGATGACAAACCATCTGTTTTGATAAACTTCAAATTCATCAAGGCTAGGTCTTCTTATCTGCATTATTCCTGGAATCCAGGGATGCGTGGCAATTCCCCTGTTAACACCATGGCTCCCAGTCCACAGCGCACTCTACACCGTGTGGTGTGATACCAGAAACATGCTCCCCCTTTCCCAACACCAACAATATCTGCAATGACAAAGGCCACTCCTGGAGTTACTGTCCAGCTTTCTCCCCTTCTTGGAAACATGTGGAAAGAGCTATTTTATTATCATGTAACAAAGGAACATATCTCAGTTTAAATCCTTTCTACATTGTACTACATTTTTAAAACTTCTTTACTTGGGCCCGGCGCGGTGGCGCAGTGGTTAAGGTCCTCGCCTTGCACGCCCGGGATCCCATATGGGTGCCGGTTCTAATCCCGGCAGCCCTGCTTCCCTTCCAGCTCCCTGCCTGTGGCCTGGGAAAGCAGTCGAGGACAGCCCAAAGCTTTGGGACCCTGCACCCGCATGGGAGACCCGGAAGAGGCTCCTGGCTTCGGATTGGCATAGTATCGGCTCGTTGCGCTCACTTGGGGTGTGAATCATCGGACGGAAGATCTTCCTCTCTGTCTCTCCTCTCTGTATATCTGCCTTTCCAATGAAAAAATAATAAAAATAAATCTTTAAAAAAAAAAAAAAAACTTCTTTACTTATTGAAAAGCAGAAGAATAAAGAAAGAGAGCAAAGACTCCATCAGTCCATCTTCCATCTACCCAACTGGTCACAACAGCAAGGGCAAGGTGTACTTGGTGGGAAGCAACTGAGGCCAGTGTCGCAGTGGTGAAAGAATTCATCAGAACAAAGTTAATAGGTTTAGGTTTATTGAACACACTGCAAGGGAACAGTGGCCAGGAAAGTAACAAGCGGCTGTCTGCTGCCATATTTTCTAAGATTTACTTATTTATTTGAAAGGTAGAGTTAGAGTGATCATCCACTGTCTGCTCATTTCACTCCCCAAATGGTCACACAGCCCAGGCTGCACCAGGTCAAACCAGGAGCCTGGAATTCCATGAAGTACCCTGTGTGTGTGGTTCAAGCACTTAGCCCACCTTCTGCTGCTTTCCCAAGCATATTAGCAGGGGATGAGGTCAGAAGAATAGTCAGAACTTGAACCACTACTCTTATAAGAAGGATGCCAGCATCACAAGCAGCAACTTAACAAGTGGTACTACAATGCCAACCCTGGTTTTTTGTTTGTAATCAGAGAAGCAACAGTCTTATTTCAATAATACACAGGGAGAAGTCAAAGAAAATGTGAGCAGTTCAGAGAGGAATAGCTGATGCTCTAACTTACAAGTAATGTGCCAACTCACTCTTCTAGGTGAGTTTAAGGTGGATACACCAAGGAGGCTGCTGCTCCTTCCATCTGCAGATCTGTACCTATAAACCCACACCAAAGGAAGCCTGAGGGCTGGGCAAGTCGGTCTGCCATTCCAGGCAAAGGAGAGAAATACAGAGAAACTAGTTCTCTCTCCTAAACACAAACTCAATTTGCATAAGATCTCCGGCATTTCTGAAGCCATCTGTGAGGAACTAGTTATTCCCTGAATTGACTGGCAACTAATGCTTCTGTAATAAAATTTAAAATGAGCCGCATGATTTCTTACCTTAGACACCCAAAGCACAAGCAATCAACAACAAAAAGATTTCATCAAAATGTAAGGTTTTGTGTCAGAGGACACCATCAAGAAAGTGAAAGATCATCTACAGAATGGGAGAATACAATTGCAACTCAGCTTCTCTAGTAAGGAGACTATTAAAAAAAAAAAAAAAAACCTAAGCAAAAATAGACAATTTCATTTAGGTGTTCCTCCAAAGTAGTAATACAAATGGCCAATTCTGTCCTTCCACTTCTAGAAGTTTTTTTTTTTTAATCCTCATATAAAAATTTGCACATGGGGCCCAGTGCAGTAGTCTAGTGGCTAAAGTCCTCATCATGCAGGCATGGGGATCCCATGTGGGTCCTGGTTCTAATTCCAGCAGCCCCGCTTCACACGTAGCTCCCTGCTTGTGACCTGGGAAAGCAGTCAAGCATGGCCCAACTCAGATAGTCCACAGTTTACTCATGTAAGTATCCAATTCTTGGGAATTGGACCCAGGTCTTGGGACCCTGCATCTGTGTGAGAGACCCAAGGAGGCGATCGGCTCCTGGCTTCGGATACGCACAGTTCCAGCCATTGCAGCCACGTGGGGAACGAATCAATGGATGGAAGATCTGCCTCTCTGTCTCTCCTCCTCAATGTATATCTGACTTTTCAATAAAAACAAAATAAATCTGTTTAAAAACAGATTTTTTAAAAATATGCACATAATTATTACAGCAGTATTATCTTAACAACTAAGTAAAAACAATCCAAATGTGCGCCAATGGATGAACCAACTGTCATGCAGCCATACCAAAGGACTGAAGAATTGGCACATGCTACAAAGAGGATAAACTGTTGAAAACATTAAAAGAATCCAATCACAAAAAGCCATCAATTGTAGGGTTTCATTTACATGAAATGTACAAGAGGCAAAAAGTATAAGTACAGAGATCAGTAGTTACCTAGAATTTAAAGGGGTCAGAAAAAAACGGACTGATTGCTAATAGACAGAGGGCTTCTCTCAGTGGAGACAGGAAACTGTAAGCCCAATTATGATGAAAGATTCTGCATAACTCCAATACCCTACATCCAATGAATTGGATACTTACATCAGTAAACTGTGGACTATCTAAGTTACACTGAATAAATGTCACCAAAAAATAAACTGTACAAAAACACAATCATATACTTGGATGTCACAGAAAATGTTAACTTGCTTTAAAAGTTTCTAAAGGCTTACTCTCAAGTTTTGAACTCTCCTCACAATGGCACATAGCAAACTGTCCCTGGATCGACACCACAGCCCATGACTCAGTGTGAGTGGCCTTGACCTACCGCCTCCTCCTGCCAGCAATGTGCCTGCAGTGGGACGCCTCTACATAAAAGAGAGCATACAAGACAGCGGTATAACAAAATGACAGAAAAGTTGTGCAATTAGACTGCCTAGCAATTCCATCCCAGCTCTGTCTGCCACTGATTCCTGAGCTGAGTGGCTTTGTTTTCTTGGGTCCTAATTAGTCCTACACACAGAGAAACAGCTACAACTTGCATTGAGTTTTAGGAGGATCAAAGAGATAAACCAGGCCCAGAGCTCAACTAGTCTCTGGCACACAGTAGGGTTCAACAGATGCTGAACAGCAGCAGTGACAACAGCCCCTTCTCTTTGCTCTCTTGAATCTCCGCTTCAACCCATCTTTCTCAACATCATCTTGAGTCCCACTATCCCAACAGACAGCAGCAGGTAGCTTCTGGCTGCCCGTTTCATTCTGAGGCCAAACCCAAGTCTCCAGTCTGTCTGTGCTTTGGGTTTGACAGTACTTCAGAGAAGATGTTGATATTCAGAAATCAGAGAGAAGCTTGGGTACCAAAAACTTTGAAACCAAGTATTATTTGATAATATCCATTTTTATGAACTCATTCAAGAGTTCATCAAGTTTTATGCATGAATTCTAGAGTTTCTGTACATCAAAATAAATTTTCTAATGCTATTTTCCATGAACTTTTAAAGTATGCTTGTGTTTGTAGCTTTAGGAGGAGAAAGGAAATCCTGTCCACCCAACCAGGGAATTTCATCCTCCTGGCCTGTCTAAGGGGAGAACAATTTTCAAGAGCAAGAGAAATGGAATCCTCCAATACCACCTGAGACCAGGATCTGCCCATCTCCTCTACTACCCTTTCTAGTCTAAGGAAAGGTTTGTCAGCACTAGTCAAGGAATTCAATTTGCTGCCTAATCCACGTCTGAGTAGGTTTCTATCACTTGCAAACTGAAGCACTTCCTTATAGAAAAGCAATCCCTCACCGAAACCCAAACATGATTTCATCATGGCGAAGGTGAGCATCATCATCAATTGACAGGATCGCCTCTGTCTCAATTTCATTCCAGGGCAAGAATCGGTTGTTCAAACTATTCTTCTCAGTCCGGACCACCTGTAAAGAGGAACAATAAACACCCAAAATCAATGCTGCTTTACAGAAAGCAAAATCAAAACTTCCAAACAAAGTGAACTGTTGTGCCTGAGGAAAGCAGCAGAGCATGGCCTGGGAACCTGGGCCCTTTCCCCCACGTGGGAGACCTGGAGATGTCTCCAGATCCTGGCTCTGGATCAAGGCTACTCTGTGAATGAACCAAACCTGTAAAGGGGGGGGGGGGGATCTCTTTCTTTCAAATAAATCTATCAATCTTGGGGGTAGGAAATCAAAGACTGTGGCTCTAGTCAGTGGGTAATTTTGCCTGATCACCCATCAGTTATAAAATCCAGTATATGCCTTTCAGGAGTAACCACCTTACAATTCAATAAATTTACAATGATTTCACATTTTGAGCTTTATTCATTTGCTAAAGAATTTTTTTCTATGAAACAAGGTAAGGACTATTTTTACAACTGTCAAACCATACAGGGAAATAAAAAATAACTTTCCCAAGAGAACACAAGGTGGCAGAGTAGATCTGAGATGCTAGTTCCCAGCATCTGTTCTTGGCCTTGCAGTCTCCCAGCTGGCCTATAAACTTCAAATCCAAATGCAAAATTCCTTTGAGCCTGTTAGTTCTGACCTCCACTTTTAAGGCATCTGTGGGAACATAAATCAAAACAAAAAAACACCAACCATCCCAGTGAGATGAATGACTTCACTTTGCAGATCCTATCTAAAAAGCTACAGTTAGACTTTTTAAATTTATGTTTATTTAAAGGATATGAAAAGATTCTCCATCTACTGGTTTACTTCCCAAATGCTCACAACAGCCCTGGCTAGGCCAAGTTGAAACCAGCAGTCATGAACTCCATTTGGACCTCCCACGTAGGAGGCAGAGACCCCAGTACTTGAGCCATCACCTGGTTTCTCTCATAAAGCTGGATCTGAAGCTGAGGAGCTGGCACGCAAACTGGGCACTCCAACAGTGTTCTCAGCACCATCCTAACTGCTGTGCCAAACACTTGCCCCAACTGCTTTCTTCTCAAGTTTATCTATGCAGCTAAACTAACAGCTTCTGTGGCTTCAACAAATCCAAATTCAAAGACTAGCTATCCACAGTGATCCAAATATGCAAAGTAGTGTTTTCTCCATAAAGCAAATTTTCATGTTTTAATGAGAACCAAATTATAACATAGAATTTTAGTTAGGCCATATCTCAGAGAAGTGGTTTACCTACAAAGCAGGTGGTAACTTTATTACTGACCTTGCCACGTAAAACAAGGGTACTTCAAAAAGTGTGTGGACCGGCAGGAGTTTGGTCTGGTAGTTAAGAGGTGAATTAATATACCTGCATACAAATTCCAAGCCTGGGATTGATGTTCTAGCTCCTAACTCCAGCTTCCTGCTAGTGAAGGAATTCAGAGTGTCAAGAGATGACCACTCACACAGGATCCTGGGATACAGTTCCTGGACCCAGGGGAGCGAACCAGAACAGGAGTGGACTCTTTCTGCCTCTAAGAAAAAAAGTTTATGAAAAATGAAATTAAAAGGCAAGTTCAGGGCCCAGTGCTATGGTAGCCTAGCGGCTAAAAGTCCTCGCCTTGAACACGCCAGCAACCCACATGGGCATCAGTTCTAATCCCGGCAGCTCCACTTCCCATCCAGCTCCCTGCTTGTGGCCTGGGAAAGCAGTCAAGGACGGCCCAAAGCCTTGGGTCCCTGCACCCACATGGGAGACCTGGAGGAGGTTCCTGGCTCCCGGCTTCGGATAGGTGCAGCACCGGCCATTGCGATCACTTGGAGAGTGACTCATTAGATGGAAGATCTTCCTCTCTGTCTCTCCTACTCTCTGTACATATGACTTTGTAATAAAAATAAATGTTTAAAAAAATTTACTTTTACTGAAAAGTGAGATTTACAGATATAAGAACAGAAAGATCTTCTGTCCACTGGTTCTCTCCCCAAGTGGCCGCAACAGCCAGAGCCAAGTTGATTTGAAACCAAGAGCCAGGAGCTCCTTTTGGGTCTCTCATGCAGGTGTACAGGTCCCCGGTATTTGGGCCATCCTCTTCTGCTTTCCCAGGCCACAAGAGACAGCTGGATGGGAAGTGGAGATGCTTGGACATGATCTGGCCTCCCCCCAAGGGATCCAGGCACATGCAAGGCAATGATTTAGGCACTGAGCGATTGTGCCAGGTCCACTGCTCCACTTCTGATTATTCCCTGCAGATACCCAAGAGTTTGGGTCCCTGCCACCCATATGGGAGATGCATGTGAAGATGATGCTGCTGGCTTCAGACTGGCCCAGCACTGGTCATTGCAACCTTCTGGGTTGTGAATCAGGGAATAGTCAACCTTCTCTATCTTTCAAAAGAAATAAAAGTTTAAATCACAATTTTTAAAGTTTATTTAGGGACAAAAATAACCACTTACATCCATGTATATGAAGGGTCTTTTGAAAGTTCCTGGAAACTACTTACTATAAACTATGCATTTATTTCAAGAAAATTTGTTCTAAAATAAACTTATCTTAGGGCTGTCACTGCAGTATATGGGTAATGCTGCCACCTGCATTGCCAGCATCCCATGTTGGTGCTAGTTTGAACTCTGAGCTATTCTACTTCCTATCTAGCTCTCTACTAGTGCACCTGAGAAGTAGTGGGGAATTACCCAAAGACCTGGGTCCTGCATCCACCTGGGAGACAAGAAAACAAAGTTTCTAACTCCTGGCTTCTGATGCACCCAGCTCCAGCAATTGTGGCTATTTGGGGAATTTAGTTAGCAGATGGACTCAGGCTCGCTCGCTCTCTCTCTTTCTCTCTCTCTCTGTAACTCTACTTTGAAATAAATGTTTTTGTAACATTCACCTTTAATCTCATTTTCCACAAACTTTTTAAATTGCCCTCTATCAATGAATGACTACATTCAGTGCTTTCACTAGCTTAGTCTTATAATTATATATTCATCTAATTAGTCCAATCCCCCAGGAGACAGATTAGAAGCCTCCTGCTGCATCTCCTATAAAAAAGAATCACTCCTCTTTTTTAATGTCTTAATATTTATTAATCTGAGAGGCAGGGAAGGACAGAAGAGAGATGGTTGGTCTTTGTTTCCTCTGATTCACTCCCAAATGCTTGAACCAACCAAGAGGCCAAAAACCATGAACCTGAACTCAATCCAGGTTTCCCCAGGGGTGGTTGCAGCCCCAGGTCTAAATTGGTGGCAACTGGGACTCAGGAGCCAGCCAGGCTTTCCCGATTATCCTTGTGTTAAAGAACTGTTGACCACAGTCTGCAACAGACAGAAATCTGCCTACAGTGTGATACACCTGCACAAAAGTGCCCAGGTTTGCAGCCAATGATATACCAAGCTCAGATTGAGCAGTGACAGTGAAGGCACTGAGGCCTGTGTCAGCAAAGAGTGTCAGGAAAGCAAAGTACTCACACCTTAGCAGCTACCCAAGCTCCATTCCCCCAGGGGTGGGAGAGTGACCCAAGTGGCAGAAGCCAAATGGCAAGCCTGGCAATGGTAAAATGCCATCAACCATAGGATGCATCCCAATTTCAGAGATTTGCAAGTGTAAAATAATGTCCACCTTGCAAGTAATGAGACAGAGCAGCTGTTCACTCAGACTCTTACCAAGCACCCTGGAACAATAATTTTCCTTTCCAAACATACTAAACTTCATGTAACACAGAACTAATTCTGCCACTTTAGTGGAACCAAGTCCCTCACCTTGGCTATGTAGACAAGCAGCTTACAAGGAAAACAATGAAAAACTCCACTTATGACCATTAACTTGCAGATTAACAACTCTGTAAACTTATCTCCAGGATTATTTATAAAATTAGTAATACCAGAACACAGCACAGAGCATGAATAAGCAAGGGTGGTCTACAGACCAGTGGCATGATCTTCAAGTGAGACTGTTGGATATGCAGACCTGGTGCAGCCATTCAGTCTGGCAGTGAGGAACACCTATGTCCCTCTGCACTGCAGCTGGCCTGACACCTGCTCCGGCTGCTGCTTGTCACTGCAGACCCAAGAGGCAGTGGGGAATGGATCCAGTAGGTAGCTTCCTGCTACCCACCTGGGAGGCCTGGGTTGACTTCCTACACTCAGTTCCCAGCTCCCAGCTTTGGTGCTAGCCTACCCCTGACTGTTGTGGGCATTTACAGAATCAACATCAGGTAGGAATTCGTTCTTTCTCTCCAATAAAGAAAGAAGTGCAGAATTGAAATAACTTGCATTCCATCCCATCCCTTTCACTTAGTCAATCCTTAAGTAGTTCCTTCACACCTGAAGTTTGAGAAGCACTTGGACGGATGGGGGGAAACCTGGTGTTACAACCAGTTAAAAAAGCCTGGGCATAAATTCCAATTCCTGGAGCCTCCAGGGGGTGTCATCCCATATGGGTACCAGTTCTAGTCCCAGCTGCTCCACTTCCAATCCAGGCCCCTGCTAGTGGCCTAAGAAAGCGGCAGAGGATGGCCCAGGTTTGGCCCCTAAACCCACAAGGGAGACACGAAGAAGCTCCTGGCTCCCAGTTTCAGCTCGGCTCAATTTCAGCAGTTGCTACAATCTGGGGACTAAACAGCAGATGGAAAATCTCTCTCCCTGCTCTCTCTCTCTTCTGTAAACTACCTTTCAAATAAATCTTTTTTAAAAAATTCCAATTCTTGCACTCACTGCATGCGTGAACACAAGCGCCTCTGCAAGATCAACACAGCTCCACACTGTCTGCAAAACTGAGTGATGTGCCAGCCAAACCTGACAATCCTATAAACATACCAACCCTGAAAACACCAAGAACTACTAAACTGATCATGATTTAAAACCAAGAGCTCTACTCATTCTTTAGAGGACTTAGGTGGGGGTCACAGAAAGGGACACTGAATAACACGTGTGTGGGTCTAGAATGCAGAACCAGCTTTCTGATGTTTATTCAAGTCTATTCCTCGGCTCACCCTGCAGGGCCCCACTAGCATGGCTCACAGCAACATGGTCAGGATGCT